CTCTATACAAGCTCTGAGACTGTAGGCATGCCTCCCAATGCCAGCTTGACCCATTCTGGGGGCTGGGAGTACACAAACCAGTGACAGAGTGCTTAAGTGGCTTTGTAAACAGCCTAAATTCAGATCCAAGCAGTACCAACAACTTCGGAGAAGAGAGGGAGCAGAGGAGAAGAGGGGACAACACAACAGACACTTGTAGTGAGTTTAAAGGCAAGTGGTTTTAAGTTCCCATTGCTTCTGTGTAATCACCAGTTCTCCCTCCCTCACCTCTCATCAACCACTTAATTTTTCCCTCAAAAAACTTTAATCTTAATCTTATTTTAATCCTTAAGTAATAGGCCATTTTGTGTTATAAGATTAAATTCATCTTTTTTTGATTTGGGTTTTTTTTTTTGGTGGTTTTTTTTTTGCGGGGGGGGGGGGGGGGGGGGGAGCCTATTCTGGCACTAGCTCTGTAGACCAGTCTGTCCTCGAACTCAAAGAGATCCGCCTGCCTCTGCCTCCAAAAGTGCTGGGATTAAAGGCGTGCGCCACCAATGACCAACCAGGAATTTAATCTTTATGCTTTATTATGGTCTTAAATCCATTTTTGCATCTAGCTGTAAATTACTTCTTTTCTGGCGTTCTATTGTTTATTCTACTATTTAAGAACATTTAGGTTGTTAGTGTTGATATGAATGTTACTTACCAGGTCTCCTGGAATATAGGTGTAATATTTCTCCAGGGCAGTGACTCCAAGCTTTGCTTACTCAAAATACACATACAGATGCATGTCTGTAAGATTAAATTAGAGTCTCCCCATTATGTGTTATGTACTGTTAGATTCAAACCTTGATTTTATTGGCATTGTGACCCACTCAGCTGTTAGCTCAGCAAAATCAGACATCCACCACTGGGTCAGGCATTTTCAGAAGAATCACAGGACAAGTAAGTTGGAGTGTCCATCATAGCTTGCTGCCAGGTGAGAAGGGAGCTACATGAGCCCATGATTTGGACATAACATATGTAAGCAAGGTTCTGGTTCAGACTCAGTAGGGGACACTCTTAGATTGGCAGTGGGTTTCCTGTTTTCACTAGGACTGCTCCAGTACAGACCAGGTGGCTTCTCTGAGCACAGATACTGTCCTGAAAGCAGCCACTTGCTGACCTCCCACGTCTTCAAATACAGCCATATCTCTTCTCTTAGTTTATCATCACGGATATAGACCACATCCTTTCCATCATCCTGAGAGAGGAGGAAGTGGAATTGTAAACATTTGTATGTTTTTCTTTGAAAGTGTGGCCAGGCTCATGTTCTGTAGCAGAAGTCATTTCTTACTAGCATTTTCTTATATTTCACCATCATTGCTCGTTATCATTGAGAACTGTGATCAGAGTCACTTTGGTTGCTGTTTCCTGAAGTATAATTGTTTCCCCTGTGAGGCTTCAGAGAATCTACTCTGTGTTACCAGTGCTTTGAAAACCCAGAGATGAGCCTTCTAAGTCTGGTTTCACCCCTGTTGTGAGCACTTGGTACCCCTTTCAGCCTCTATGTGTGCGTCATTAAAGACTGGGCTGGGCATGCAGCATAGTTGGTACAGTGTTTGCCTAGCGTTCACAAAACCCAGTTCATTTCCAGCGCAACACAGACTTGGTGTGGTGTTGTGTGGCAGTAAGTCAAAACACAAAGACAGGAGGACCAGAAGGTTAGTTTCAGAGCCAGACACAAGACTCTGTTTTGGGGAATGCAGAGATGTGGAACTTTAGGGTGGGAATGTAGCTCAGTGATAGAGTGGATACTGGAGAAGCAGTAGGGAATGTTATACATACACATTTCTGAGGTTTCTGTACTTTACACATTTCTGGGTTTATTTTCTTTAAGTCCTCTGTATCGTTAACTCTTGGACCACACTTGTAATCCTTTCTCTGTTTTCTCTTCATCCTACTCTGGAAGACTGTGATCCTTTCCATCTCTGTTCTTACTGAGTTTTCCATATATGCTATTGTGTTTTATTTTATGCTGAAAGTGCTATTTACAGAACATGTAGTAGCCTCTTCTCATCAGATCAAAGTACTGTTTCTCCCAATCATGATGCTTATTTTGTTTTTGTCTTTTTAAAAACTTTTTTTATGTTTTTTTTCATATTCCACACTTAAAAGTATTCTTGGCCTCCCAGATGAGATTGAAATCTAGGAAATTTAAGCTCTGGGTGGGTGACTGTTGACTTGGGCATTGTTATAGAGTGGTCTGGGTTGCCTGCTTATTCAGACCTCTGAGATTAGTGTTCAGGGCTTTATTTTGGCTGATTGGATTCCTCATAAGAGAATATCTGCATCATACCTGGGGAACTTTGATTTGTTGCCAGTGTGGTCAGCTGAGAGGAGACATGAGGGAGGAAGGGTTGCCTCTATGTTTGATTGGTTTACATGTTCTTTTGCTGGTGGTGGCAGAGGTGGTGGTCTTCTAGAATACCAAGCCCTCCCGTGAACCTCATCTTCCATTCTAACAGACATCAGGAGGGGCAGCTGTAGCCAGAGTGAGATACTTCATTGCTACTCAGACCATACCTCATCCTTCTTTCCCTCCCCTTTACTTCCAGATCTGGGGGAGCTTGTGCTACTTTTAAAAGCTGTTTTGCCTGTCAATGGGTGGTGGTTGATCTTTTCATTTTTATTTTCATTTTTTTTACTAACTAAAAATTTTACCTAATACTGCAGCCGTCTTTCCCCCCAATTTCCACAATTTCACTGCTTTGTCTATTACTTGGCATACTCCTGTACTTTTAAAATTCCCTTAAATTTTAATGGGATGTGAGGAGAGTGTGATGTTAGATGCTGCTTGTTATTCTCTTGCACGGTTTTATATTTTTGTTTGGATGGATGGATGGATGGATGGATGGATGATTTTCATGCTACAGAAGTACTCTACCTCAGATCTTTGTGTTACTGTGTACAGGTACTGTGTCTATATTCTATTTAAGACTGTCTTCCCTCCTGTGCCATGAAGATTCTATTATGGCACTGTGTTATTGCTTGGCTCTCACAGGGCAGCATGTGAAGCTGGTCTCTGCTGTGGGCACACCTCATTCACCAGAGCCTCTCTGCATTCTCTACACTAGATACCGATCATTTGTGAGTTAAGTCACTGGGGATAAGTCCCAGCTCTTAGGAGCTTTTCTCCTGTAAAATAAGGCACCACCAATTAATTGACTAGGAGGACATACACTTCCAGAATCACTCAAAGTACAGGTTCCATTTTCTGATTGAAAGAATTGCTTTATAACCAACAGTTATATAAAGCAGAATAAAATCTCTGTAATAAGGATATGCCAGGATTGTCTTGAAAATGTTAAGTCAGACAGCCTTAAATAGTCATGGAATTTCATTAATTTTTTTGTGTGTTTGTTTCATCATAGGATATACGATTGGATGCCCGAACAGCCAAATATATTCCAAGTAGAACAGTTGGAGCGCCTGAAGGAAGAATTGCCAGAGCTTAAGAACTGTTTGTGTTCCAGTGTTAGCCACTTTGTCCCTTCTTTGTGTGGGGAGTCTGATATCCATGTAGATGCCAATGGCATTGATAACGTGGAGAACTCCTAGTTTGTAGTGCACAGAGGACATCTGGGGGCATGCACACTGCTCTGAGGCTCAGTGTCATCGTTGAGCACTGCTTCTCTGCCTTTTAGGTTTCTCAATCCAATGAAGCAATAATGAAGTATGTTACTATTTCATTACAGTTCCTGCAAGAATATCAAGTATGCTATTTACACTTGGCCAGGTATAATTGTCAATCAGTCTGTACAATGAAAAAATGTACTGTATAAATATATTCAGTGGGATATCTAAGCCTATAATATTGAATCTTCATTATAAGCATAATATTTAGAAATTAATTATAGATATCTGATATTTAAAGTTCAGGCTTTTCATTTGATTAGTTCTTAAATCTTCAGTATTGAGAAAAATGACTGCAAAATTATACCTGACCATGGAAAAAATAAGTACCTCAAATGCATGCATTTGCACTGGTGGCTCCAGCTGTACAGATCTTTGTGTCATCTGTGTACATAGGTCTCTTTATATGAGTTGATATGAACATGCAATGTTTTCATTCAGTATAAACCTCAGACTGCTGCCACTTCCCCACTGACCCAAACCAGCCTGCAGATGAACCATGAAACTTGTTCCGTAAACCTTTCCAAACTGTTTTGCATAAATGTTAAATTTCTGGAATGCTGCAGGGTAACTTAATATATAAAATGTTTAGTGAGAAGTACATATTGCATATATAGTAGTACAGATCACAATATACAAACAAATCTGACTCAATGCGTGCTTTAGGTTTTAAGCATGAGATTGTACATGTTTACTGTTAAGTCCTTGCATCTGGTGCTAGGTGAGTGAGAAGATGTCAAGGACTGAAAATATTTTGTCGCCTAAAAAAACAAGGTCTGTTTGTAGACACTTTGAATATCCTTTTTAGTGTCTCACTACCTAGTACAAGTAATTGCTGTGTGTGTGTTACACAGAGTTAAATCCCCATGCAGAAAATAAATGTCCTGAATTCACAAAGTGGTATTCTTTATTGTTTAATATATATATCATGTATGTAATTTATTTAGGAATGTAGAAGATCTTACTGTATATAAATGCATGTTTTTAGGATTATACTAAGATTTCTTCACTAGAAGCAGATTGTATTGATAAAACTGTAACTTCAGAATGAATGTTAAATAAAATGACAGATTTATTTTTTTCTTCATCTTAAAATGGAATTTCAAGAAGGTGTTACTTTTGTAAGATGGTTTTATAATGGTATTCCAACAAATAGAAATTTCATTCTGACTGTTCAGGCTAACTCACTACTCTTTCTCAGTGTGTTCCTTCTGAGGCAGTTTGCTCATGTATTGACATATTTTGACAGGAGACAAGAACCCAAGACTTGAAATGACAAGTTGTACCCTTTTTTTTTTTTTTTTTTTTTTTTTTTTTTTTTTTTTTTGCAAAACACACTGTAGCCCTGGCTGTCCTGGAACTCACTGTGTAAACCAGGCTGGCTTTGAACTCTCAGATCCATCTGCCTCTGCCTCCTGAGTGTTATTAAAGTCATGTGCCACCATCTTCAACTTCCTGATTTGTTTTTAACAGAGCAACAATGGGGGTTTGGTCAGCTCTTCACTGTGGGAAGATGGTATTGCAATCCTATGGTATTGTATTTGTAACGTGGTGTTTAATGGAACATAGTTTAGAAAATTCCTTCTGCAAGGGTATTTCTATATCCTTTCCCACTTCATTGGGTATTTAACACTTTCACATAATTGCTACCTTCAGAAACAGAACTGTTTTTCTTCTGTAGACCTTCACACCATGTGGTGAGTACTCCCTTAGCCATTTTTAGTTTGATTCTGTGGTCCTTTTCATGGTTTTCCACTTCTAGCTCCATGGTCACAGAACCTGGCCAGTGTCCTTCCTCTCTTCCTGTTATTGGAAAATTAGACTATTTATCTGGGCTAACCCACGCCTCCATATCACTAGCTGTCACCTTTCTACTCAGCCATGCTCTACCTGTGACCACTCTGCACCCTGTTCCTTTGTCTAGAAGCTTTTTCAATCACTTTACACTGCCATACTCATATCAGTGCCATCTAACTTTCTCCACTGCCAACATTGTTGGAAGGGAGGGACCCATATTTTACTACTCATTATACTCAGTTATCTTACTGAGCCTTAGGTCATTCGAGAGACACAGCTGACATTCATCTTACCTACCTTATTTTTATTTCCACAGTGCACGAAATGTACTTAGTAGAAATGCACATTTTGAAGTGGCTTACATTATGACCATTATTGATTTCAGGGTTTTTTTTTTTGTTTGGTTTGGCTTTCAGGCTTTTGTTGTTGCTGTTGCTTTTTCTGGGACAGGGTTTCTCTTTGTAAGCCTGACTGTCCTAGTAGAACTCACTCTGTAGACCAGGCTGGCCTCAAACTCACAGAGATCTGCCTGCCACTGCCTCCCAACTGCTGGGATCAAAGGCATGCATCACTACCTCCGGCTCTGATGTTAGTTTTTACATGTAGAGGTTTAATGTTAAATTATTTTTGTGCTTTATGGATAGTTTTATAAGATGATTCTCTGGCGTTACTCCTTGGAACTGTGAACTAGCACTGCTGAGTGTAAACCGAGGCATACAGCTTCCTCTTGAAGGCGGTGTTGAGGGTTGTCCTGACTTGGCTTTTGTCTGGGACGGTAGAGCTTGTTGGGCTGTGTGCTGTGCAGTCCAGTTTGCTAGTCATGGTGAGTGATCCTTGTCTCTTCTGCCTCCCTTTTCCCCTGTAGCTGCCACTGCATTGTATCATCTGCAATGTAATGGTTTGGTTACACTGGATTCATAAAAGAATGCCCTTCATTGAGGTTTAGATACAATTTATTTACTCTTTTTCATTTTAGATTTTGGTTGTGTTATTTTCAAGAAATACAGCATAGCCCATTTGGCATTCATGTAACTTCACTGAGTATCTATAGATTGAGAATTAGATTTGAGATATTTAAATTGTAAAGGAGTGTATGATTAAGACTATGCTATAAGGACTTGGGGATATATGTAGCTCAGTTGATAAGAGTAGACATGAAGCTCTGGATCCATTCATCAGTGCTTTATAAACAGTAATAGTGTATGTATCCTGTAGTTCCAAGATATAGAGACAGGTGACCAGAAGTTCAAGGTTAACTTGCTGCATACCAAGTTTGAGGCCAGCCTGGGATACATGACATGCAAAAAAAAAAAAAAAAAAAAAAAAATGGAGCAGTAGTCTGAACAGTTGTGACAGTTTGAATCTCAGCCTTCTAAAACTCAGGCCAGAGTCATGGGGGTTTTGGTTGCTTTTGGGGGGAGGGGGTAAAGCTATTTTGAATGCAGAAATGTGAGAATCCTAGTATTGATTCAAAGCAGGAATGGAGAGATGGTACAGTGGTTAGCACTGGCTGCTCTTCCAGAGGACCCAGGTTGAATTCCCAGCAACTACATGGTGGCTCACAACCTCTGTGACTACAATTCCAGGGCATCTGGCATGCTCTTCTGGTTTTTGTGAGCCTTCATCATATGGTGCACAGGCATTCATGCAGATAAAACACCTATAGGAATAAAATAAAAATCCTTTAAAACAAAAGAAAAGGACCAGGTGTAATTGCATACTTTTATCTCAGCGCTGAAAAGACAGATCTTTGGGTTCAAGGCTACCCTGATTTACATAGTGAGTTCTAGGCCAACCAGGGCTACACAGTGAGACCTTGTCTCAACCCCACCCCCAACAACAAAACCCACTGGAGAAAGTAATAGTTAGGATAGTAGAAATTTTATTGGATTCATCTATACAGTATTCTATTTATATAAACATTCTCTCTACCTATTGCATCAGGTGGAAAGCAGGGTGAGATGTGAACTAATGCAGAAATGCTTAGCCAATGGCAGCAGCATCCCATGGCTTCAAGTTATCCCAGAAGCCCAGATGTCCCCCAAGTAACCCCTCCAGTCTCTGCTTAGCTAAGTGAAGGGTACCTCAACAGAGGTTTTCCTAGCTGATGTGTAATAGCTACCTCCTGCCATGGTTTTTCTCTTGCTGAACCCATGTGATTATGCGATAAGGCAGCTGCCAAGGTGTTTTCAGTTAACTTTCTCCCGTATATTCCTTAATAATTTGAGAGTCACCTCACATGCCAGAGAGTCCGCTCAGCATTTGAAATAGTGTTGTGTTGATTTGCTATATTTAAATATTGAGGCAGGATGTGTGTGACACTAACGTTTTAAAAGTCATTCTAACTAGGACACTACTCAGAATGGTTTTATTTTTCCAGTAACATGAGTTGCTTTTTTGCATTCATGCACTTAAAAAGTTCATTCTTAGATAGATCTTAATAGCTACTCAGGTTTTATTTTACAACATGTTTTTATTACATTTTATTTTGTGTTTGCATGTGGGTGTGCATTTGGGCATGTCCACATGCCACAGAGCTTAAATGGGTTCCATGGACTGAACTTGGGCCATCAGGTGGGTGCCTTATCATCTGAGCCATCCAACTGGCCATAAATGGTCTATTTAAAACAAAACAAAAAAACTTCCAGGGCTGGAGAGATTGTTCAGTGGTCAAGAGCACTAACTGGTCTTCCAGAGGTCCTGAGTTCAATTCCCAGTAACTACACAATGTCTCACAACCATCTGTAATGCTCTCTTCTAACCTGCAGGGATACATGCAGCCAGAATGTATACATACTAAATAAATCTTTAGAAAAATTTCCCATTGTTCAGCAACATTTTCAGTGTTAAGCAGTTGTTTTTTTGCTGATTGATCATAGCCCTAGCTTCCTCATGGGTTCATTTAGTCAAAATAGTTTGAGTATTCTGACACAAGTAGGTGGAAAGGAAAGAGGGATATTATTTAGTCTCAGGGATTTTCTTAAGTAACTGGTAATAACTAAAGTAAATTTTCCTTTCTAGTTTTAAGGTCTGTCCCGTACATTCTAATTGTCAGTGGGGATGCCAGTTTGATGCATGCTGACCTCTACCAACAGGTGACTTCCAAATTAAAAAACAACAAAAAAACCCTCAATTTCTTGCCCCCTTTTTTGGGAAGAACCGTCCCCCAATAAGAGGTATAGAATTGATTTGATGAGTTTTTGAAGGTTTAGGAAACAGTCATGGTTTTTTCTTCATCCTAATTGAAGGAATGTGTAACACTCACTTGTTATGTAATACTGACTAGAGTTGAATGTGTGCAGCCTACTCACCCTTGACCTGTAAGCCTCTCTGGGACCTGTCACTACACTTCGGAAACTAACTTAGAGTTTTCAGAAATGGATATTTTGCAGGGCTAGGTTTAACCCCAGCATTCAGGAGGGATAACCCACTGCTGAGGCTGCAGTTTTCATGTAATAACCTGTGGCTTCTGGGAGTTTGATCCTCCCACACAGGTTACTACTGTTGAAGGGTTTTTTTTTTTTTTTTTTTTTTTTTTTTTTTTTTTTTTTTTTGGTTTGGTTTGGTTTTTGGTTCTTGAGACAGGGCTTCTCTGTGTAGCCCTCGCTGTCCTGGAACTCAGAGATCCCCCAGCCTCTGTCTTCTGAGTGCTGGGACTAAAAGTGTGGGCCTTTACCAGGGCTTTTTAAAATTAGCTTAGAAAGTAACAGGTTTCCTTGGGGCCCTCTCTATAGCATCCTCCTACTTTTCACCCCTTCTCACTGATCTGCCCTCTCCCTGCTGATACCTGGGAGAGGTTCTTGCCACCAGAGTTGAGGACATGGTGAAGTTAGTGAGGAGTGCGCACGTGTGCTGCATTTGGGGTATTCTTTTCAGTGTTGTCTTTCAGTTCCCTTACATTTACTATATGCAGATTAAGATGTTTATTATACTTTAAGTATTAAACCATATTTTTCCAAGTTTTCCAATTGTTTTTATTTTATTTCACTCTTTCCCCCCTTTTAGACTCAAGCTTTAGTTGTTTTTAAAATAAAAATATAACTTCCATTTGGGTCTGGATACTCTCAATTTAAAATTATTTTATTTGTTTAGAGATAGAGTTTTGCTTTTAGTTCAGGACAACCTAAAACTAAATAGCCTAGATTGTCCTCCAGTTCATGATTTTTTTTTTTTTTTTTTTTGCCTCAGCCCAGAAAGTGCTGGGATTGCCAGCTTGACTGTCTCTACCATAATGGTCTCAACCTATTTGATTTTAATATACTTTGCAAAGTGTTCTTTCATGAACTCCTGTTTACTTGGGGCTTTGTCTTAGCATTCAGTTATATGTATCAGTGTGTGCGTGCACATGTATGCTTGTGTGTGTGTTTTAGAATTAAGTGAGCATATTTTTCTCATTTCTTCTTCCTTCCAATGTCTAGGGGTCTTCTGAAGCCCTTGAGAGCTCCAGACCTCGATGTGAACCCAAGTACACCATTTACTCTTGGTAGTAAAGGGCCGGGGACCAGAGTTAAGAATGTGGCTTGTGTACTGGGGGTCTCTACTTCTGAAGTTCCCAGCATCTACTCTGGATAGCCAACTGAATGTAGTCTTTGCTCTATAAGACAAAGTGCTCTTTTCCCTTCACCTCCTCTCCCAGGTAAGGATGGGCATGTGAGCAGAGCCAGGGCAGCCAGATTCCCGATCGTCCTGTCTTATTTAGAGCCACAGAACTTGGGACAAGTGTGCAGGGCTCCATTCTGAGACGCCTCTAGCTGGTTGTGGTGGCGCACACCAGTAGGATTTGCTGAAGGAGATGCCTCTTAAGTCAGATTCCTAGGCCTTCTGACCTGGTACTTTGGCCATTCCTTTCATTCTGAGATTTCTCACTTCCTTCTAAAACACTACTTTCTTCTAGTATCAGTTTAAGTTTTTCTGAAGCCTTTAAACATATTTGTGAATGAAAATGCAGGTCTATAAAATGCTCAAATGTAATTTTGTGTTGGTTTTCATTTCATTCGCACAGTAAGAAATTATATTTAGTATTATTAAACATTTAAAATTTTTTTGGTTGGTTTATAAGTGTTTGGCCTGCATGTATGTATGTGTGCCATGTGCATGCCTGGTGTTAGTAGAGGTCAGAAGGCACTACTGGATCCCCTGAACCGGAGTTATGGGTTCTTATGAGCCACTGTGTAGGTGCTGGGAACTGAAGTTGGGTTTTCTGCAAGAACAGCAGTACCCCTAAATGCTGAGTGATCTCTCTAGTCTCAATAAGCATATGTTAATTCAAGCAGATAATCAAAATGTTTATTGAAAATGTCATATATGCATATAATGCATTTTGGTCAAATCCACCTGATATCACCCCCAATACTTCCTTTCAATTTTGAGTGCTCTTTTTAAACTGATTTATTTATTCTAATTTTATGTGTATGAGTGTTTTGCTACATGTATGTGCGTATACTTTGTGCATGCCTGGTACTGGCAGAAGCCAGAAGAAATGTTGAATTCCTTGGAACTGGAATTGCAGACAGTTGTGAACCACCATGTGCACACTGCGAAACTGAGCCCAGATCAGTTGGCGGTGTGTGCATGAGTGAGGCCATCTCCTGGGGTATGGGTGGCCTTGCAGAGGCTATACCCTTGAAGAAAATGGACTCTCCCTCTCCTGGAAATCATTAGTTGACAATATCTCTGAAACCAGCAGTGGGGTTTCAAGATTTCCCCCATCCACCCATGCTGGGATTTGGTTGACTTGATCTTGCACTGGTCTTGTGCATGCTGTCGAAGTCATATGAATTCATGTGTGCAGCTGTCCTGTGGTGCTTGGAAAATACTGTTCTCTAGTCACCCACTACCTCTGGTTTCAATCTTTTTGAACTCTTATCCTGCTTAGATTTCAGCTAAAGTCATCTTGGGAGGAGGAACCTGAATTGAGAAAATTCCTTAATCAGATGGACTGTAGGCAAGTCTTTAGGACATTTTCTCTATTACTGATTGTTGTGCGAGGGTCCAGCCACTCCTAGCCAAATGGTCCTGGGTGAGATAAAAATGGAGGCTGAAAAAGCCTTGAAGAGCAAGTCAGTAAGCAGCATTCCTCCGTAGCTTCTGTTCCTAATTCTTGCCTGGGCTTCCTTCAGTGGACTGTGACCCAGTCACAGTCACAAGTCAAAGAAACTCTTTCCTTCCCAAGTTACTTTTGGCCATAGTGTTTTATCACTGCAATAGAGCAAACTAAGACACTCCTCTTTCTCAATGACCCCTAAACCTGGGGTGAGGACTTCCTGACTAGGACTCTGACCACACAGGAAGTGTGGCAAATGGGTCTCAAGAAATTCTAAAGCTTCTGTACAGCAAAGGAAACTTATTTGAGTGAAAAGAAGCCTTCTGAATGAGCAAAGGCTTTGCCATCTGACACTGGATTAGTGTTATGAATATACAAAAAACTAAAAAAACTAAACATCAAGAAAACAAATCTCCCAGTTAAAAATGTGCTGTGGAGCTGAATAAAGCATTCTCAAAGAAGAAAGACAAATGGCTTTTAAAGCTGTTCAACCTCTTAAGCTGTAATAGTCTCTAGCTGTAATAGTTCTCTAGAGGAATAAAACTGGTGTGTGTGTGTGTGTGTGTGTATTAAAACTGGTTGTGGTGGCTCATACTTTTAATCCCAGCACTCAGGAGGCAGAGGCAGGCGGATCTCTGTTAAAGTTTAAGGCCAGCCTGGTCTACATAATAGACTCTGTTTGAAAAACAAACAAGTCAGCTTTAAAATAATAACAGCTAAATTACACCTAAGATGCTGAAAATTTAGTGCTTTAATCTGGTTGCCTCAACGGTCAGAGTAGTCCCATAACAGCTTTCTCTCATTGGGGGCAAGAGCTGATATTTAATCAAGCTTCAAGACCTCGGTGTGTCTCAATCTGGTGCCAAAAGGATCAAGAGCCAGTGGTCTCTAGTCAATGATGAAAGCTTAGAAACACTGATATCTGTGAAAAAATCAGCAGCAGCAACAGGGCAAATCAACTCTGTAAGAGGAGAAGGCAGAGGGAGCAAAAGGCAAGATGGTATTTCTTCTGTCACAGAAAGGTGCTGCCCACAATTGGGGTAGGTCTTCCTACCCATATTGATCAAGATAACCAGGACAGGGGCTAGAGAGATTGCTCAAGGGCAGGAGCTGTTGCTGCTCTTGCAGAGAACCTAGGTTCCATTCCTAGCACACATATGGTGGCTCACAACCACCTGTGCCAGCATCTAGGGACTCTGGTGCCTTTTCTGGCATCCTCAGGCACCAGGTATGCCTGCAGTGTACACACATGCATACTGGCATTCACACAGACACATAAAAGTCAATCAGGACATTTCTTCAGGTGCAGCTTCCAACTCAGGTGATTCTAATTTGTGGCAAGTTAACATGAAAACCAACCATAATATCCATCAGCAAAGTTTGAGTTCAATGTAATTTGACTTTTTATTCCACTCCAGTCAGAATAATGTTAGAAGTGGTAACACATGCGACTGAAGCCGTGGGGTAAAGGGAGCACTCATTAATTGTTGGTGGAAGTGCAAATTGCTGCAAATTGGCAATCACTATGGAATCACTGTGGAATTTTTCTCACAAAATGTTAGAAATAGAACTGCCATATGGCCCAGCTACATCACTCCTGGCTACATACCCCAAAGACTGTATCCTACTGCAGAGATAGTTGTACATCCGTGTTCATTGCCACTTTATTGATAGACATCCACCAGCTGAGGAATGGAAAGCTAAATTGTCGTACATTTACACATTGAAAGTTTATTCAACTACAAAGAACAATCAAAGCATTAAACTCCCAGGAAAATGGATGGAACTGGGAAATAACCTGAGGTAACCAAGGCTCAGAAAGACAATGTTCTCTTTCACAAGCATTCCTAACTTTGGATTGCTAGAGTAATGTGTTTAACTTGGAGTGCTTGTAGAGGCCAGGAAGCTAGATAGGGCATTAGAGAAAAAAGAAGAAAAATGCATTAAAGGTGAGGAGGGTAGACCATATTTGATACCAAGGTGTAGGGATGGAGATGAATATTGGGTGTGGGGGACAGTGGAAAGGTTTACATGAAAATGGGGACAGAAAGATAGGGAAGAGGCAAGGGTTAGCCAAAACTAAGGATGCATGAACCATGTGGAAATCTACATGGTTTGTAATATTAAAGAAGGGCTGGATTGGAGATGCCTGCATTAAAAAAAATCCCAGTTCCTGGAGTGGGATGCCTCCATACAAGCTGTTGCTTAGAGAGGCCCCAGAGGCCACAAAAATAATACAGGCTCTTGCCTTTGCTATTATTGGTTGCTCAACAGAGCTAGATGGTAAGAATGTATTGCTGAAGACACCACAGGGAGAAATGAAGCTAGTTTTCAGTGTGGGAAGGCACTGTGCAGGCTGCTGGGAGAGAAGTCAACTGTTTTTATCCAAACGTGAACCCTATAAGCTACAGAAATAACCTTCCAGGCCAGTGGACCTACAGTACAGTAGTAGCATTGCCATTAGGGGGTAACAACGATTGTCTTAATGGATTTGAAGTTGGTTCCATAGGAGGGAATTCATGCCTGGTACTGTAAACCTGTCCAAGAACTCACAGATTGGGAGATAATGGGCCCTGGGGTAGCCTTCTACTGTTGTTTTGTTAAATAGACATGTTGTCAAGTTGCCTTCTAAATATGTTTATTCCTATAGGTTTATGCTGCAGGCAGCCTCCGTCAAAGAGCCTTCTCTTTCCTTTAATGTAGTGATTCATAACTGGCTAAAGGGCTGGTGATACAAGCAACCAGAAGAGATAAATTGGAGCCTGAGACCCTGACTTGACTGGCCTATGTACTCACTATGTAGACCATATGGGCCTCAAAAATCATAAAGATCCTCCTGCCTCTGCTGGGATTAAAGGTGTGTGCCTCTAGGCCCAGTCCATGTTGCCAGTCTTTGTCAACTTCTCACAAACTAGAGACACCTGAAAAGATGAAACATCAGTTGGAAGTTGCTTCCATCAGACAGGCTCATGGGCATGCCTGTGGGGGCATTTTCTTGGTTAATGATTGGCGTGGGAGGGTCCAGCCCACTTTGAGCAGTGCCACCCTTGGGAATATAGTCCTGGCCTGTATAAGAAAGTAAGGTGAGAAAAGCCATGGGGAGTATGGCGGTTTGCATAAGGATGGCCCCATATTTGAATACTTGTTATCAGGGAGTGGCACTACTTGAAAAGGATTATGAGGTGTGGCCTTGTTGGAGCAAGTGGCCTTGTTGGAGGAAGAGTGTCTCTGCAGGGGAGGTGGGGGATTTGAGGGGGGTGGACTTTGAGGTTTCAAAAGTCCAAGCCAGTCTCAGTACCTTTCCCTTCCTGCTGTCTGCAGATCCAAATGTAGAGCTCTCAGCTCCTTCTCCAGCACCATGTCTGCCTACGTGCTACCATACTTCCCTTCACGACAATAAAAATCTCTGAAACGGTAAGCCAGCCCCAATTAAATGCTTTCTTTTATAAGACTTGCCATGGTCATGGTATCTCATCACAGCCATAGAACACTGACTAAGACAGTGAGCAATCTAGTAAGCAGCGTTCCTCCGTAGTTTCTTCCTGGAGTTTCTGTCCTGACTTCTCTCAGTGATAGACCTGGGTGTCGTTAGATGAAACAAACCCTTTTTGTCAGGTTGCTTTTGGTCATAGTGTTTATCACAGCAACAGAAAAGAAAAACAGCGCACCTGGTTCCCCATCGAAATCCCTTGGTCTTCTCCCTCCACAGAGCTACATGGGCTCTCATCTTTGAAGAGTGGTGTAAGTCTTCCCACTCCTGGTAGCAATCACATTCATAGTTTCCATTCAAGTATATTCCAAACACATGGGCTATGAAGAACAGAAAGACTCATCTGGCCAGAACTAGTTTTAGGTGTATGTGTAGTGAGGGAAAACTGTGTCTCCTGGTAACTTTGGGGGAGAATCTCCTGTTTATCCTTTTATGGCTATGCATAATTGGGTGTATATATATGATTAAAACCAGATGCATTATGGGAAGAAACAGTAGAGAAATGGTTGTATAACCTAATCTACAAGCCAAAATAGAGAGCGACCCAAACTATACCCCTTAGTCACCAGCCCCTCCTCTTGAACCCTTTAAAAGCAACCTCAAAAAATAATTGTGTATTTTAACTCATGCAGCCACTGCCAAGCTTGCTGGCATATCTCTCTGTAATCTGCATGATCGCTGCTCCACATAAACCGTCTTGCTTCTTTGCAAATCTGTGGCTTTGCAGTTCTTTGGGTAAGAGGCCAAGAACCTGAAAACTCCTGGCTCAGATATGAACCACTGATAACACTGAGGATACATGACTGTTGAGTTCTCTGACCTACAGTGGACATCTATGTCACCTCCCCCTCCAGGGCTCAGAGGACATTGGGAAGAGGTGGAAAGAATGTAAGAGCTGGAGGATTGGAACAGCTGCTGCAAACTGATGTCTCCTGGACAGGACATGGCTGCTCACACCTGACATTACAGGGCTGTTGTTATCTGCCCAGGATGGAATCTATCCACATTTCATCATGGACGAGAGAGGGACTCCTGAGGCCCCACCCCATCCCAAGGAGTGGTTAGAAGTAATGGTTGCAGGGGAGGGGAGAGGGGTGTCTCTTCAGTAGTACAGCCACTGATAAGTTGCCCATGCTCCAGTAATTCCCTAACCATGCTCATGCAAGAAAACACAATTAAACTCAGTGGATCATGGCTGGGGGGGGGGGGGGTGAACACCCCCCTTGTTGGAAAAAGGAAAGCTTTCAGTGGGAGATGGAGGTTGACGAGGGTCAAAGGTGTGAAAATGACCAAAATGCATTCTATACATTTATGAAATCATCAAATAAGTTTTTTAAAGCCTATTGCAAAATAAATTAATTAATTAAAATAAATAGGCTACTGCAATTCTATTATTTGTAACTAGGCAGCCTTGCTACAAAATGAAACATAACAAGTTTTATTTACATATTTATTTAATATGCTATGCCCCAAACTGTATTCAGAACTATCTTTAAAACATGAAAAAAGTTGGACTGGGTGAGGTGGTGAATGCCTTTAATTCCAGCCCGGCGGAGGCATAGGCAGGTGGACCTCTGGGAATTCAAGCCAGTCTGATCTACACAGCATATTCCAGTCCAGCTGGGGCTATACGTCTCAAAAAAACAAAAACAGGAATATAAACAGCCATTTTCCTTTCAAAGAGTAATTTTATTATTCCGTTCTCTGTTTTTAGGGGAGGATGGGGCATGTGGAAGGCAAACAAGGGTTGGGTAGCTTAGGAAGCACACCGGCCTAAATAGCTCCGGAGCTGCACCCATAGGCAATATTGGAAAAAATCACTAAGACCCACCCTCCCGAAAGCCATCCTCCGCGGTGTCACTTGCCCACTCCTCGCTTGACATTTACTCATGGATAACTTGTGAACACATCAGGTCTGCAGGCCGTTGTGACCATGGTTCCACAAAGCCGTGTCTCCTGTCCCAGTGAGCTTAGAGTCTCATGACTTTCCTAGAAAGGATCAGTGAAGCATGGCCGACAGAGGCTGCTCAGCCAGGGCAGACGCCGGAAGGACAGGTGGGGAAAGAGGGCTGCAGTCTCCGCTTCTTTCTGGCTCTGTTTAGGGTCTTGCTTCATCCCCATTCTTTGTAACATTGAAAACAGCTTTAGGTGCAACAGAGTGAGCAAACAAGGCAGACAGGCCTGCAGGAGGAGGGAGGGTAAGTGCGCTCGCTCGGGGTGGGGACTAGGAGGAGGCATGCTGGGCACGCTAGAGCAGGGGTTCTCAACCTGTGGGTCACGACCCATCGGCTAGAACGACCTTTTCACAGGGGTCACATATCAGCTGTCCTGCATATCAGATATTTACATTACGATTCATAACATTATCCAAATTACAGTTATGAAGTAGCAAGGAAGTAATTTTATTTATGGCTGGGGCTCACCACAGCATGAGGAACTGTTAAAGGGTCGCACAGTTAGGAAGGTTGAGAACCACTGCTGTAGAGCTCTGGCC